ATATATCTTATATATGTTTTTTTCGTTTTCTTGAGCTGAGAAAAGGTATTGGTCTCTTACAATGATGTAAGTTTTTTTTCTTTTCTTTTTTTCTTTGGCACCTTAACATAGCGGCCACGTCTCGCACGTGCACCGACCCTATTATTATATGTACTCGATATGTGTGTTGACCGCATAACTTGAGGTAGGATTTCCTCCTGGTGCAGCCCGAGCTTGTTTCAGGAATCTCCTGGACGCGTTCCCAAAAAAAAAAAAAAAATGAAAACCGCAGACAAATTTATCATCCGGTCAACGGCCACACCGACACAGGTCGTCTATGGTTGTAGTATTACTATTATTGTTATACGCTGCGTCTTCTCGTTTAAGTTATTTACAGTATCATACGATTACTGAGTATTGATCATTTTTAGTATTTTACTGTGTAAATTGATAAAAATGTGCTGTACATTTGCATTGGTCTAGATTCTAGACTCTAGAATCAGTTTTGAATAATTACTTTTAAAAGAAATTTTGTTCATTTTGGTTTTTCAACATTGTACACGCGACAACAAAATATAATTATCATTTTTTTTTTCTATTTAAATCTGTCGGCAGCTCGTTGAACTTGTGTGTTTGGATTGTCTTCTCTGAAATTCGTATTGCAAATTAGATCTTTTACAACTTCAGCGTTCAAATTGGTTTCTATTGTTGTGTGCATCGGTGTTATTGAGATTTAGCCGCCGTCGATTTTTTATTGTATAGATTTACAATGAAAATATAAAAAAAGGGACGAGTGAAGGTAAACGTTCTTGTTCGGCTCCAATACAATAAAAGTAATTTCGCAATTATTTATTATTGACAAATAGAGTAGGGGTAGAGGAGGGGACGGGCTAGGGAAAATCGACAATTCTCCAATCAGTTGATAAGGGAATTAGTTGATAAGAGATAAATTATAAAAAAATCTGCTGATAAGAGATTAGGGATAACAGTTAGAAAATCAGCTGATCACAAGACGTTTCCATGACCGAATGTCGTTCCATCAAAGGGAACAATGATTTTTAAATAATAGTTGTTATTTTACTATTTATTTTTTAACTTAGAATTTTTAAGTTTGATTTAACTAATATTTTTTTTTTTACTATGTTTGACTAAAGCGTAAACGATAATTTAATATTATACTTGTGGATTTATTCGGTAGCACGTGTAGACTAGTGTGTGAAAACCCCCAACGAGGTCTATGAACCTTTGCAATGTTGTAAATTAGTGTACATTATTGATGTGTATGTAAACATTGTGTTAACATAAAGTTTGTTCTAAGTGCTGTGCAGTAGCAACGGAGGTGGTTCAAATAGTTTTATTTTGTTTGTGTAGCTTAATAACCGTCGTTCGGTAAATCACTGGTCTGGGGTTATTGTTCGCACATATTAAAATTATTATTGTACAGGGTTTATGGATATTTTAATAGTAATAATATCAGGCTAAAACAGATTAGAAACGATGAACTTTTTGGCATCTACCATTGCACAATAATGTAAATATGATGTATGATTTCTACTAAACATGGTGGCACGAGAAAAGGAGGTGTGTATTAACACTACATCCGGTTATAATTTAATAAATAATGATAAATTAAAATTATTTTTTTTTAGTGTAAGATGTAATAACAACATATTATATATTTTAATTTTAAAAAAAACTTTTTGAGTTATTGCAATTTAAATGTGTAGACTGGGAATGATGTGGATTGTAATGTTATCACTTAACCGCACTTGATTTCTCGCTTAGACTTTAAATGCTAATAACTCATAAAATATTAATCCAAAACTGGTTTTCGACCAGTCGTTTATTTTCATTACAACATTTCGCTCCTGATAGGCAATTGCAATTATGTATGTTGCCATTAGGATTTTAACTATAATTATCCTTTAAGATAATATTTAGTAAAAAAGGTGTTGAAAAAAAATCACCAACAGGGTTTGTCTTAGTTATCTGGTTTTAGGTTAGCTCTGTTGTTCTTCGTCCCAACAACACGTTGCAAAAGGTTATTGCACGCTTTACAGTAAAGTTAAAATCTATATAAACACACTTGATTTTTATTTTCAACCTGAAAACAATATAAATTATAAACGGTTTTTTTCCCTACCGGTTTTCTTGCTCTACAATAGCGTGTGACACGTAACATGTTCATTTGTTGGCCGGATAAGCATCTCGTGTAAACTCATACCTGTTGCATCTCCTTAACCCCCAGGCTCCCCCAAGCCCCCCACCCTTGCTGTACATTCGACGAAGAGTGTAATTAAGTGCAGAGGAAAAATTATACAGGGTAATCCGTTTAACGTGAGACACTATCATCACTTTCTCCGAAGATTTTTTATTACAATTTTTTAATTTTTTTCTTTTTTTTAAGACATATTGATGACTTCTCTATCGAGTTTATCTCATGTTTTGTATCATATTAAATACTTATTGTACTTTAAATTGTACAGTTTGTATATTTTCTAAATAAAAAAATTTACAGCATTATTCAATTTTTGTAAACTTATTTTTTTTTTTTTTGTAAATTCTAGAGTTCTATTGGCTTTTCAAACTTGCACCGTATATATTTTTAGATTATTAAAATATTAGTAATATAATATTAGGTACGTTACCGTTTTGAGTTATGGATCACCCTGTTCATAACCCGAGAACTCGTGATGCGAAAATTCGTGTCCTTCGACTGTAACAACAGTTTCCATATAAATAGTAATATTATAAACTTCTACACGTACTTACACACTTACTTATAATATTATACTTAGAAAAGGTAGGAAGTGCCTAGTGTACTCCTCAATCGCCGTTGGTGGTCACACGGGTTCTCGTCCTAACCGTGTCACGAGTAAGTACCAATCAATAACAACAAAAATAAATATACACATCATCATCATATTTATTTTCAAAATAAAAAAACAAACATGTGTTCTCGAGACGACTCGTGTGTGTGTGTATACACGATAATTATATAATATAATACACCGTATTAGTGAGTAAAAAACATAAATAAAAAAAATACAGGCAGGTATTTTACCGCACGTGCATTTTAATCCGGAGTACTTTATATATGTATACTTATAATAAATAAACGGATAATAATATCAATTTGAAATAATAGTGATTGTAATCTGGAAAACGGTTATAGTCCTGTATTAAGGACTGTGGAAAAAGGTTTTTTTATAAATGTAAACAACACATGTGTATTCGATGCTGCTTGTGCATTTATATGGCGTATGGCGGATGCGTATAATAATATTATAATAGGAACTATTTAGATATTGTTGGGAGGTAAATAATTGTCACATTAATTTTATCTATCTGATATCTCTCGGTTTACGGTTATCGGTTTTATTATTTTTTAGTAAGTAAATCATTTTACTAGTCAGTAGTCGTTTACAAGTGTTATATTGTATATCATTTGTTTTGTGTATATAATATAATATTATGTATAATATACTATTCTAAGTGTTGAAATTACCAAGGCTTGACAACATAGTATTTATGAAACTGTTTTCAGAACCAAACTAGACTTATGTACCCCGAGATGAAAATGTTTTTTCAATAAACAGTAAGTTTTTTCTAACTCGAATGCAGTTCTGATAAAAAAATAGTATGGCGAAATTGAGTACACACTCCCCTTATTCTTGAGTTGTGTAAGTGATAACGGGAGGAGTTGATGGGGTAATGGGGGGTCAATAAAAGTATTTATAATATCAAAAATTTCAACCTCAATTTAAAAATAAATAAATAAATAAATTGTTAAAAACGTCTGCGGGTTTTTATGCATTTCATATACAAGTAACTTACACCCTTATAGTACTCACCTCTTCATGTATCATGTTAAAGTATTTTTTTCATTACATCCTATTGCTTTTTATAGGTGAATCTAACAAATACATTGGTCGCTATTGAACTTTTAAAAGTCACCCATTATTATATTGCATTCTTTAAAATAATATTTTTTTTACTTGAAATTATTAAGTGCGATTTAAGGATGTTTAAATATTATACTGAGGATTTTTTATTGAAACTTTCTCCGACTAAAACAATAACAATAATAATTATTTGACAGAGACAGTTACTGTAATATCCACAATTTGAACTGCCCCGTTTGATACGATCCCGTCGGTATGATAGCTGTTTAGATCTTTTGTCAGATTGCTGATATAATGTAGGAATTCGGAAGAGCATTTTCGCAGAAGTCTAAATGCATCCGGAACTTGCTTTTGCATATATTTTATTAAACGGCCGAAGAGGTTTTTCGACCTTTGGCGACAGTTTTGGCGGTTCTGCTCGTCGACAATTCGCTTAGAGCTGATAATAATAACACTATGAACTATATACCGAATGGGATTTTGTTTTCGGTTCAGCCGAGAAAGCAACCAAGCGGGTAAACCTGATAGTTACTGTGTGTTGCATTTGTTGGCAACTGATTTCGATCCGAAAACGGTCTTGGTTTACCTCTCTCACACTCTTCCAATCTCCAAACTGCCCTCAGGGTGTATTCTATGTTCATCTTGTTATATTGTTTAAAACCGTTCTTTTTGAGTTTTATTTTTTCATCTATACAATATTATTATAACTTCACGATTTGTGTGTTATATTTTTCCCACGTCGTGACCGCAACAATGTTTTTTTTTTACACTCTCTAAAATTACTTCCTAATATGAATTATAAATATTTCTTGTCTAGCAAAACTCAAAATGATTATACTTTAAGTGGCGCATTAGTTATTTTTAATCATAAAAGTATAGACCGTCCTTTGCTGAATGTGCCTTGTATAATACCTTTTGAAAAACAGATCACTACATTTTAACGAAACAGTTTAAGGGGAAATATGTCTTTTGTGTGCGTTTCCTATGCAACGTGCCTCTATACTCGTTATGGAACTGTATTTTTCACACGAGCACATGCTTTACCGTGTAAATGTATAGTATATAATATTGTTTTTAATTAATCGATTGCGTTTTTGTTTTTTTTTTGTTTTGCAGACCTGTTGTACAGACACGACGTGACGTTCGATAGCGTTCTAACCGAAGTGGAAATACTCGACACATGCAAATGTTCGGTGAGTGTATACACAAACCTACAATGTACCTATATAAATAATATATTGTCCGTTTAAATATGGTAGTTAAATGTGTGTACATGTGTCTTTGTGTGTGTATAATAATGGTCGTGTATATAAGAAAACGCCATTCGATCAGCTGAGACAACACAATGCGTTTACACGCAGTCGTCTCTCGCCCGTTGCATGTTAACAGAGTTCATTGGAATGATTTTTTTCACAAATAATTTCATGTTACAGTAATTTTTTTTGCTATGAAATAATTTAGTTTTAGTTAAAACAAAATTCCCGATAAAATCATTACCCTTATGCCTATTTAACCGTCTACAATGTATTGCACTTTAATGTTCCAGTTAAAAATATTATTTTAAATTATGACAATATGAAAATAAATGACATAAAATACTTCTCGAGTTATAATTAGCATTTAAAGTGGTATAGGCTGTGTGTGAGGTAGACTGTAATGTTATTTATACCCACGGGCGCCTTTAATAGATATTTCATTTAGTTAAACCAGTTATTGAGTCAATAGCTAATAACTCAAAAAGTATTTCAATTCAAAACTGGTTATCGACCAGTCGTTTATTTTCAATCTGCTTTGGATGGATGAATTAAAATTGGTATTTTGCCGTTTGAATTTTAACTATTACCCTTTAGAACTTAACCTTTTAAGATAACAATATTTTAATAAATATTAAATATAATAAGGATTTTATTAGAAAATTGTTTGGCTAACATAATTATTTCAATTGGAAATATTCACTGCAACATGAAAATATTTGGATAACCGTTGCGGTTTTTTTTTTAAATTTTTTATCTCACCATACATACCTTATAATATTACTTATTAGTATGTAAGTACCAACTATGATGCACTTACCCGTTATTCTGTAGATTTTTATAGGGGATAAGCATGGGCGTGAACGCAATTAATGACTTATTAGAAATGTTATATACAATTTGGTTCTATGAGGAGTACCTAGCTATCCTATAGTACACTGTAGTTACCTACTATGGTTCACGGATAGTATATTGTATAATTAGACTACAACAAGTTAATTAAACAAAATTTAATTTTAAGATTACACTTAAAGACTAAACGTTAAATATAATTTTTTATCGTTAACTATAATAAGGATTTTATTGGAAGTATTTTTAGCTTACATAATCATTTCTTTGGGGAATTCACAGCAACATGAAATCTGAAAGGTTAGGTCGTGTAAGTCGTGTCTAATGAACCGCTAGACCAATTCGAGAATAACTACGTTATACATATTAATACATTATTTTCAACAGAGTTCATTCAACCACCGGTTTATAAAAGAGCAAAGTATGAAGACATTTTCAGCTTGATGCGTTTTTCTAAATTGTTTGTTAGTTAACGAGAAATGCATATTGGTCAAGACATTATTTGAAATTTGTCAATTGCAATGTGATCAAGTGATCAGTTATTTAATTTAGTGACTTTTCTCAGGCTTATCAGTTTGTCCAAATATCTTTGATTTTGTGTGGATGCACTTTTATAGATAAACCGACTTGGTTGATCAGAAGAGTGCATTTCCCGACCTCATGTGAGGGATAGGGTTGTCCATTTGTACTGTTCGTTTAGGATTTTTTATTTTTTTTAATCGTCTGGCTTTTTTTAAAAATAAAACAAGTTACTTTTGAGTTTAGGGGAGGAGTTAACCATTTGGAATAGTGCTCTTGACTGTCGGATTCATAAAAATAGGCGGTATAATAATAAAAGCGACTCCTCGTCGGTATTTAAAAGGAAACGGGATTTTTTTCTTTATAATATACAATTATTATTAAGATATGGCCTTACTTGAGCGTTACTCGTTCGTTCACCTTCTTGTGGTTTATTATTATTACTTTTTTTTTTTTATTGTTTTTATTAAGAACCCAATACGAAAGTAAACGGGTAGGTACATAAGTACAATAACCGCGACTTGTGATCGAAACATGGATATGGTGTATTATTATTATCACTATGCACTTAAAGGGTTTTCTGTTATTTTTATAATATTATTCTACCCGGTTTTGTAAACATATAATATATTTTATAAAAAATAAAAAAAACCGAACGGGTTCAATTCGGAGTGATGATTTTTGACGTCCAAACCGGTACAGCAGCTGTTGTTAAGTGTATTGATTTTTTTTCACCTTTAAAAAAGTGTTATGCTGTCGTTTGTTCCCCCCAGGTCAATGCGGCTATGCTTGACGATAACAATCGTTCATTTAAATTATTTTCTAATCGATCATCGTTGCCTAGACATGAACCGTATCTTCTCCCTGGAAGTTTGCGATGGATTAAACATGTATTTCTCCACTTAAGGAGGTATTCGCATAGTTAAATTATGTTGTTAATGAGTTATTGTGATAAATTTACAAGTAATCAACGATTAGTGTAATGAAGGTAGGACTTGCAAAGCGACTGTCCTAGCAATACTTATTAAAAAAAAAACACCAAAATATATGTTTCTCATGTGTAAAAGATTTGATAAGCAAACGACTTAGTTCTTAGTACTTTTGCATAAAAATACATTGATATTATATTAACATAAAAAAAACCGTCAAACTTGTTAAATGGTAATGTTATTTAGGTCCAAAGACCGCATACAACTCATTAATTGTGTTTTGTCTAACATTTTAAGATGATTAAAATTGGTGTTAAATTTTCTGCACAATACAAAAAAAAAATTACACTTTTCTGACCAAAGACAGGATGAATTCCAGATTGTGTAATTGTTTAGATCTAGTGTTGTGCTCAAGCTGTTTGCTATATAGCTGTCGATGTCCATTTTTAATATTCAGAACAAATAAAGGTAATACACTTTATGCGATTGCAATTGTAACACTAATATTTTTCAGGTCCAGTTTGGTCATTTTTGACCACTTAAAACGTTGAACAATTATTTTTGGATGAAAATAGTATACATGTGACGTTTTATGCGTTACACGTTTTCAAGTCACGTATTATTATTATTATTATTATTATATTATATATGTAAATATAATAACGAAGACGAAATTAAATTATGTGTTTCACAGCAAACGAGAATTTTGATTTTACAAAAAGGAAGGTGTAAGATGTGGGAAAAGATACGAATTAGGAATAGTAAAAAAATACACGTGTAAAAATTAAATGTAATATGATATCCCAAAAAACATATTTTATTCGAGATGTTCGTGTCTAGTTTTACAAGATTGCGTCGTTTTTGGTTTGATACAAAAAAAAAAAGGTGTGTATTCTACATAGGACGATTCATTAAGGATAAGACACTAATTTTTTAGGAAAATAATTATACAATTTTATAGTTTTTTATTTTTTTTTTTAAAAATGCATTTTTATTTATATCACGTATTATTGTACAAAATTACAAAAATTACCAAACCTTTTTCAAACTTAAATGGAGACAAATATATTTAGTCGACTGAATAATAATTTGGTGAAAATTTTACCCTGTCGATAACCAGTTTAGGATAATTACTTTAAAATTTATTCAAATTTAAAATGGGCACTTTACCTCCCGTCCTAAACTTTAAACTTTAGGAGCTTCAAAAGTAATTACCCAAAACTGATTGTCGACCATTTGAAAATTTTAAACAAAGTATTCCTAATTAAAAAAGTTAATTAAATGTAGGTACACGTTCCCGTTTAACTTTCGACGGTTGATAGCGCTGTGGAAAAAAATAAAAAAGACAATAATTTTTAATAATGTCTAGTATTGTAAAATAACATAACAGAAAATGTATCCAAAAGAGAAAAACCATAAAACTGCAATAATTTTAAATGAAAACGAGTGCCATGCCCATAATGGATCACCCTGTACAGTATGTATACACCCTGTTCATGTTGTCTTATCCAGAGATTAAAATGATAGAACTTATGTACATAATATAATATTATTATTGTAAACGGTACCTGTAGGTGACATAATAAACGTTAGTAGTATTTTGGCTTTGTCATACTAGTGATAAAAAAAAATAGAAAAATGTCACTTTCATTTTTTTGGTGTTTACAACGGTTTAAAATTTGTATAAAGGGCATCGTGGTCATAATATTAAATGACATAAAAATTGTTAGCATCATTTTTTAATTTTTTTTATTGGCACTTGATATTTACTGCAATCGCTTGTCGACAAAAATATATCCATTTTCGAATTTATTTACTAAAAAATATTATCTAACATATAAATTCTTTTAAGGTTTCTCTTCCGCGGTGGTGATCATCACACAAAAACTTTATATTTTATTGATTTTTAATATTTTGTTTTGTTTTATGAATTTCCTACCACAGATTAGATAAGACCAGATGGAAGGCACTTTGTAGTAAAACAATTGATTTTGATTAGCTCTGGTGAGTGAGAACCAAAAGGGGGCTTTTTTAATACAATTTTTACAAGAGAGTTTAAAATTAAATATTTTTAAGTGATCCGAAGTGTTAGCTTTCCAGGCTGAACTATTGTAATAGTTTTTTTTATTTTGTCGACGATACGGTGTACACATGTGTGTAATATTGTACAGTACAAAAATGATCAACCCTAAAATATAATAATATCGCAAATAATAATTTTGCCCCTCAATAGTGTCGCATAACAATTGCCAAACGTGTGTAATATAATATACTTGGCTGTGCTTTACACACAATAATTGCTTACAGTATACAGCGTGATACAATAATAATAATAGGTATAATGTGATGGTATACACGGCCAGTGTTGTCGAGTCGTGAAATTGGTCCACGATTAAACTGCATCGCTGTGACTATTATAATAATAGTTATATATTATTGTTATCATTATTGTATTTATTAGGTATATATATATATATATATATATTTTCCACTTGTGCTTGCCGGTCGACTACCCCCCTTGAGGTCGGCCATTATGTCAGTGTTTTATAATCTTAGTCCTGGCCAAGAATACGACACTCGGTGCAAGTGCGTCGTTACAAGCCGTATCAGAGTATAATAGCAATAATTGTACACATGTTATGC